CTGCTGGGCTCCTGACCCTCTGGAAATCCCAGGCAAAAATCAGCTCTCTCTCTTCCCACCAGCCAGATCCAGGAAAACTGGCATGTTTGGTAGCCCTGTGTGCGATGAGTGACGATTTCTGTGCTCCTTTTGCATATCTGAGCATGCTTTTTTTCCTGAACACAAAAAATAGTGTCTTGAGTGCTGACCTTTCCATCCCTGAGGCTTGGTGCCTGGGACTGCTTTGGCTATTACTGTCAAGCAATAGGAAACCTCAATCCCTGGAGGACTAGAGTCTTTATGGCACCTATATCCACAAGGAGGAGGCCTACAGCTTGAAAAAGCCTTTTGGGGTGTTATCTCCACATTGTGAAGACAAGGGTTGACTGCAGAGTTTATGGAGTCTTTTTTAGGTCTTTCCCTCAATAGCTTTGTCCCAAAGGTCACACTGATCTCTGCCCCAGAGCTGAGCCATGGCACTGGAGTGTCCACTGGCAGGAGCTGCAGGCAGTTCTCTTCACTGTCCCTCAAAATCTCCAGTGTGGAAAGTAAGACATCTTTATATGGGGTGAAATTTCTGGCTTTAGAAAACCAGTCCATCTCATTTTGCAGGCTCTGTGCCTCTTATGAATGGGCCACATTCTTCTGGCTGTGTTGGTGTGGTTTGTTTACTCCTCAATGCTGTCTTACAGCCAGGAGTTTAGGGTCCAAACTGAGCAAAGGAGCCAGCCTACTCTAGGAGCTCTCTTGGAGCTTGACAACACATTGATTTCAATACCATGAAATTATACTTCCTCCAACAAGAGGGGAGGATGGGAAAGTGGTCAGAAATAAAGCTGGAATGAAAAAACAAAACCAAAAAAAGCTTATGAAATTCAATCGGGAATCCATTCCAGCCAGGGGATTTCCCTCAGGGTCAGTTTGCAATTACAATCTTCAATTTCCACTTCAGTAAGCTCTTTACCCAATTTAGCAGTCTTTGGTCCCTTAGCTGATCCATATTAATGGTTTCCAAAACCTTCAGCATGCACTAGAACTGATTTTGGGTTTCATTTGTATAATCTCCCCTGTGATTTTCCAAACCAGACATTCGGTACCTGACAGGTAATCAGCTCGAGAGCATCATTTCCAGCTGTAGGCACATTTCCCACCATTGATTCCATTAATGTCTTTGTTAGGGCAAAGGCTTTCAGAGCAAATAGGAGAGTTTCTAAATAATTTACAGTGTCATGTGAGCTGTATGCTGTTGCTGTTGTTTATGAAAGCAATATATGGATCACATGGATACTTTCTGTTGCGTGAGGGATTTATGACTAGCAATTTATACAGCAAACTATGGAATGTTCTTTTCAGCAGTCTGAGAATCTAAATACATCGTTGCTCGGCTGGGCTTCAAAGTTTTTGGAAAGGAGCTGTTTGGTTTGGAGAAGGACTTTCTAAATACCTGATTAAAAACTCTAAAGATAGCCTGGTTTTCCTGCGGAAAAGGTAATTTTTAGTGATGGAGTTTATGTGGCTCCCTTAATTAAAAACAATCTTACACGTATATTTTATATTGCTAAAACTATGTCCATGCTAAGAGAAAGGAAACGGTTATGATTTTAACCTCACTTAAAAAAAAAAAAGGTTTTTCTAGTGCAGGCAAGTCCTCAGACATTGTTTAGTGAATAGCATTGATAAAATATGTAGTTACCAAGGCCTGAATTAGAAGATGTTTCTTCAGGCGACCTCTGTACTGACACGAATACCCCTGCTTCTACACACACACATTTTAATTAAAACGTTTCAGTGAACACTCCCTTCTATTTGCAAAAGCTACAATCAGTCAGGAACATTGTGGGATTTACTGTTTTGCTTGGGGAAAAAAACCAAATACTGTCCTCAGAGACATATTCTAGTGTGTGGCACGGACAAGCAGAGAATGTTAACTTTTGCATCTAGAAAATAAAGATTTCAGCACTTTTTTTTTTTTTCCTACTGCACTATGTTCTACAAAAGCTGCACAATTTCTGATTCTTCAAATAACTGAACTCTAGAGAATATTGATCGAGGCTGCATAACCAAAGTCCTGTCCCTGATAGTGAATGGAGCAGCCATGGCAAAGAGCATCTGGTTAACAAAATCGTGTGGCTGAGTGGCCTAAAACTTACTCCTGTTTTGCAAATTACTCAACCAAACAGCAGGGATCTAAGAATATGGCACCACTGTCTCAAACCAGGCTCCATTTGCTCGGCTAAGTGTAATTTAGCCCTAGTTATTTGTCAAGAAGTAATATAAGTGTACAGCATGATGGTGGCGAGGGCGTAGAGGAGGGAGGCCTCAGCACAGCGCTATGCCACGAAGTCTTTGCTAAGAACTGGATCAGCACTTTGGAGATTTATACAAGGCAGATTTTCACATCAGTGGGCAGCCTCAAGTAGGGAAGGATTGGTCGTGCTTTTTCAGATAGAGAAACTTGGAAAGAGCTTACTTGCTAGGGGAGCAGTAATCTGGCTGGGGCTTTGCTCTAGATTCCTCATCCATTGGTGTCCCAGCCACCAGAAGAGGAGGAAGGCACTACCAGCTCAGCGAAACTGCAAGTCCGTGTGTTACACCCGTAAGGGGAAAGGAAGAGGAAGCAGCAAGAGCACACAGCCCTGGAGTGATCCTCTGTCTCAGATGAAAAAAAGATGTGAACCAAGAAATAATTAACAGTGGGTTGAGCATCCTAGACTAAGTTTCAGCTAAATGAGGAATTTATGTTGAGGGGAAAATTGTATTTAGGCTTTCAGGTTGTGATTCAGCGTAATGTCTTCTGATCTCCTTATGCCTGATCAGCTGCACCTTCAGGAGATTTGAATCTAAGCGAGAACTGGATTGGACTGCCTTTTGCACCTAAATAAAGAAGCTATTTTAATTTTATGGGTTTGGATTCAAACATACTCCATTAAAGCATCTACCAAATATCCAGCTCTTTAGGTAGGCACTATCACTTCTATACTTGTTTGTAAAGAACTTACACTGGGCAGTTGCCTTTAGTCACTGTTGTAAAATAAAGAATATTAGAGCCAATACATAATGGCACAGAGCATTGTAGTCCTATGTCTCCATGATGGTAAACCGGAAGACATCAAGTGCATAGATTCACACCTTTTAACCCACAGAAAACCGAAAAGTATTTGTAGTCATGGCCTGTAAATCTCTTGTACCCCTGGACTTGTACATTCCTTCAGACTCTGGGCTTCAAGTCAGGGATGAGGTTGGAGAAATAGTATTCCTTCCTCACCTGTGTGCCTGTATGGAATGTAATGACTGGGATCTCACCAAGATGGGAGACAGGGAACTGCAAAACACTGTATGTAAAGGTCAGGGGGACCACTGTGAAGACCTAATCTGATAAAAAAGGCTACATAAAATAGGATATAAGAAAGGGGAAAACATGTTCCTGTTTGTGTTATAAAAAGAGATGTTTCATTTTTTTTAAAAAATGCAAATCACATTATATCTGTCATCTGAACCATGTTCAGGCTACAACAGGACTTACAGGTTTTCCACTAGCGGACATTCTCTCCACCCACTTAAACTGGTGCACCGCAAAGCATACCAAGTAAGTGCTCATGGGGACTGACTTCTCAAAAGTTGTCCGATTCCAGCCATTGCCCAGCTTTACGGTTTGCTGCAGAGATGGAAAAATAATTAATTTGATTTTTGGAATTGCAAACACACGCAGAAGACAGTACAATATTTCTATGAAGGCTGCAACTACATGGGAATGATAAATCACCTCTTCAGGTTCACCTCTTCTGGCATCCCATTGCTGATGGCATGAGAACAGACAAAATGTTTTTTTTGCAATACTGCAACACATGAAACGGGACTTTGTTTTTCTGCACTAAATCAGTTTACCTGGTTCTAATTTTGCATCAAGGATTTGAAATTGTTCGTATGCAGAGGAATTTTGCCAACACGAGTTTTCCAGTGTATGCTAGTGTGTTTTGTTCCTGAAATAGTTGCATAAAATAACATCACTTTGGACAAATCAGAGAAGACACTGGATTCTCTCCTCTCTTTAAATACAGGCATTATGTAGGAGTCAGGGATTGCTCCTTAGGATAAAGACCTGTCTAATGAATCTATCCTGAAGTCATTCAGATACAAATCAGCACTACTAATTGGTGGGTTGTTTGAATGTACATAAGGTTTAGTGCTGATCATAGTTTTTATTTCATAAATGTATTAAAAACCATTCCTGATACTCCCAAATATCCTTAATTCTCAGCTGAACTATATGACCGTAGCTGCAACCTGTTGTATGTGATTCATCCTCTATATATTTATTTCTGCTATTCATTATCTGCTGTTGCCTGTCTGATAATTTTCTGTGTTTCTGACTGGATGACTAACTTAAATAGGACAAAAGCAAACAGCATATAAAAGACACTAACCTTCTACTGGAGATACAACACTTCATGAGATTCGTTTGTTATTAATACAAAATAAATAAAGCTCAGATAGTGAATGTTACAGGTGATATGATTCCATGAGCAAAAAAACCTTTTCACAGATATAGTCACAAACCCCTTTTCACAGAGGTATTTGCAATCTACTTTTCCAGTATTTGACTCATTTTGACTCTATTTTGATATATTTTGTTCTTTCAACAAAGTCAGAACTTCCGTGAAAAAAAGGCAAAAAAAAAGAATTCACTCTAGTGAAAAATGCAAATGAAATGTACAAGTTCCTGATTTTGCTGAGCTGATTTTGCCATGTTGATTATAAAGTTCCACACCACCAAAACTACTACAGGATGTGTAACACACAATGTGCGTTGCCTATACAAACAATTACATTTCCATTCATTGAAAAGATTTCCCAAAGATCTTTCACTGCTAAGAACAGAGCTACTGACGTTGTGAGCGCACCAGATGAAAAAGGGCTCTGCTATCATCTGTTAATCAAACATGAGTATGAACTCAGCATAGTCTACATTTCTGTGCCTGTACTTGGATTTTAGCAAATTATTTAACAAGTGGTAGCTAGCCCTTTGAAAGCTTATATTTTTATGCCCATACTAGAGGCAAGGTCCATGTGTAAAGGTGTAAAGTAAATCTCAAAACCCACTAAGTCTTGATAACATCTAGTCTTATACTCTCACCTTCGCTGCCGGTACCCTCGTTCATCTGAGGTCTGTGGGGAAAGGTGCAGCAAACACTCTCCTTTCATGTGTTGTTTGTCAAAGTGCCTGGTGCTCTTTTAGGTATCATAGAAATATTTTTAATAATGATAGGTTAGAGCTTTAAATTTACAAAGAGTCTGTGAGGCAGCTGTCAGATTGGTAATAGTTCTCTCAGCTGCATTGCTAGGGGATAGTTAAGGTTTGGGGGACTCTAAATAAAACAGTACACAGTAAAGCAGACCTTTGTTTTCTGGGTTGAGGAGTGATTGGGAAGATGCAAATGTCAACAGCCTGGAGGCTGGAAGATAATTTTCATTTTTTCTTTTTTTTTTTTTTAAATTATTTTTTAAACTTGGCTCTTTATCTCCCACTTCAGAACATATTCATTAGAAATTATACATTGGACTACACATTCAGTTAAACTATTCATTAGAAACTCTCTTTCAGCTGAAAGCTATTCAATCTTCTTCCAGAGGGCCCAGAGACAGATAATTGATGCCATTGAATTTCATACAAAACTTGGAATTTGACCCACCAGGTCCAGAAATAGATTATTTAGGAAATTACAGTCATAGTGGACTGACAAGTGTCCACACCCATGAGGTGACAGATGGGATTTCAGATCCTGTAGTATTAAAAATAATAATCCTAGACTTTCTTGCTAACAGGATACTTTGCCATTAGATTGTGATCAGCAGACCCTTGCTTTGGAGCATTACGTAGTTTCAGTGATTATTTTAGACTTCCCATCTGGGAAGCAGCTGTCTTCCAGAGTATTCCTTCTCAGAGTCCACCTGGTTTGACTGAAGAACATGATATTACTTATTTATAATTAGTAGGGGATGCTCATCTAGAATATCTCAATAGAGGGCCAGCTAGCTAAAGGCACAAGAGACGTTTCATTTCTGCTTCGGATTTGGCTCTGTATTGCCATGTTGTGTGCTGGTGGACGACTGGGAGTCCTAACCAACCAACCAGTCCTGTTTTATTGAATATTTATTAACCATTAGCTTTACAGTGTCTGGGCGGTAGAGTCTGTGAAAGTGCATGGACCTTGTGATCCATGCTACCTTTTCAGTGGCTTTATAGAACCATTCCACATAGGCAGCAGACTTGGGAAATACATACCTGTACCGGCATGTTTGAAAGTGCTTCGTACATGTCTTGATGGATGATAGATATGTTGTAAGTTGCCTTTTTGTTTGGCTCATCAAAGCAAGGAAATGATTTCCGCGCATCTGTTGGCTCATGATCAGTAGCTGCAATGCTCCTTAAACAAACAACACATTGGCAAGCCTTCATTATATACCTTTTAAATCTTATTTGCAATTTCTAAGCATAATGTTCTAGCAATTTCACAAACTAAAGTCAAGTGCAAATATTTGTGTGTACTTGTCCATGTATAAAAGTTGGTAACATCAGAAATGCACAAGCTGACATTGTATAGGCATGTGTAACATGTATACCTCAAAGTCTGTCATCAACATTCTCTGGGTTTCAGAGCAAAAGCTAAAGCCAATTGCTGATCTTCAAATATCTTTAGGAATCAGGCAATAAGATATGGATAACCCCTCATGGACAGTAAAAATTTAGCTCACCTTCCTGGTGAGCTTTCCCATTGATTTTTGTTCCTAAAGTAAACTACTGATGGTATCATCTGAAAGGAAATTAAGGTCCTCGTATAGGGATGTTTAATTAAGTAACACCCTGTGTTAATACCCAATGCAGCACATCTTGGGATTGGAGTCTTGAACACCTCCTGAGAAGACACCTTGGAATTGTGTAAGTGCTCCTAAAATCTCATCCTGATTGTGTGTTTCTTTTTCTGCAGTTACCATGTAGTTTTCTACTGGTGCTGTTATGCCCCCCTGACTCCATTAATGAAACTGCTGGAGAAAGCATGGAAAGTCCAGGTAAACATTCTAGTACATAACTGATGCTATGCTAGTCATGTTGGGGGGTTTAGAAAGTCATCTCAGTTATGCAAAAACAACTGGAGGAGCCAGACAATAAGGGTCATGTAAAAAAATAAGGTGAAGGTTATGAACGTTCATATTGTGTGCTTGCATCTTACATCAGGCTCCCCCATTAATGAACCATACAATGGCAGAGCATATTCTTCAGTGATTGATGGTGAAAGGGATCACAGATGCTTCTTCAATTAATCTGGAATGTTGGGCATTTTCTGACAGCACTTCTACAGCTGCTCCAACTATATTAAGGTAGTTTTTCTTTCCAAAAAGTAATTAAAAGTGTACATCATAAATTACAGTGCTGCAGCAATCCTACAAGCTCACTTGACAACCAATTTTTCAATGTTTCTGTTGCCCTTGGCATTTCCCTGTGACGGTTAAATACTAAACTGGTCATTAGGAACCTGTAGCAACAAGGGTCATTTTCAAGCCTGATGGAGGTAATATGTCTGGGTTCTTACCATTCGTGTTCATTGGAATAGTAACTCAAAATTTTATGGGCAGAAAGCATAATGAACATTCACCTTAACATAACTTCAGGCTCAATAGAGTTTCTTTGGCTTGGTAAATTGTTTGATGTCACTCTCTACTTTTTGCAGGATTTGAAAGCTATTTCACAATTAAGTTCACTTCAAATCCCCAGGGCAATGCTTCACAGCTATTGCTTAAAAAATTGGCTACGCGTTTTGACACATTTATATCTTGTTCCTACAGACTGATAACACTGTGATATCTCTGTTGATTTATAAAGTGATAATCCTTATATCCTCATATATTTGTGGAGGCAGACAGACATCAGCAGTGCAAAACCTTAGCATTACCATTCCTACAGGGTAGATGATGAGAACTCCAGACTATGGCATGCATAGAAGTGGCACTAGAAACATGAAATGTTGTAATTTCCTTTCAAACTGTGCAATGTAGTTTTTAGATAAGATTTTCTTCACTACTTGGTGGCTTCTGCCATTCTACTTGCTGTTGCTGTCCAGAGCTTTAAATGTGAACTAGAGTTGTAAATATCATAGTAATAAGAAGTGAAGATCTGTCTGAGACTGCATCCAGCTGTTCCCCAAATAAAACACTGCTGCATTTAGAACTGTCATGAATTTCCCTTCCCCCCAGCCCCAAACACAGGGGGTTAGTGCAAAAACTGCTGTCCTTGAGCTAATTAAAGCATTTTTCCTCTAGTCTTTCCCTAAATTCAGATTCATTGCAGATTCATTGCTTCTTCTGAGAAAATGTTCTCCTTGAGGAAGAAATGGGGGAGTGCTACCTGTGTACTTCTGTACACTAAAGAATATTTTGCCCTTCCCTAATCAATAATATCCTAAATGCAAGTCTCCCTGTTAGAGATGTGCCCAGCTGAGTATCTTTTATAATCTTTTATAATCCTCTTGTTTTTCTCTTACTGAGAACAGAGAGAATTCCTAAAAAATGGAAGTCATACTTTGTCACTAATAGTAATGCAAAATCAAAACCAGCTGCTGTGACACGTTTGTATTGTTTGTAATATTAAGGAGAAAATAAAAGGTTTTTTTAGCACATTCCTTTAGAGGAACTAATGACTTAAAGGAATGCATTACACCAGGCAAGGACTCTTGTGCTCCTTTCCCTAATATATGAAAATAACACAATTGTAACGTAATTATGCCTACTGCATCATGCAAAGTAGGGAAGGACTGTTATTCCCCTCTCATTCATTGGGGAATGAAATGCACAGAGGAATAGCTTTATCAAAGGACTTCAGTGTTTACAGCTGGATTCAGGCACCAACAGGAGGATCTAGGCACGTCTATGTCTAACATTTGCATTCTCAAAGTTTTTGCTTTCCTGCTCCCTATTCCCCCCCTCCCCCCCCCAACAATTTAAATAGTTGTGTCCCCAAGATATCTCAAGATCCGCTTCTAGGCATGTCCAAAAGCACCTTTGTCCTGACAGAGAATGCATGATCTGTCTGAACAGGATTCCCAAATGAGGTGTTCTTCTCCCTAAGCCTCTTGAGGATCCCGGACTTGCAGGTGTGTTCAGCACATGTCTACCTGTTTTCCACAAAATGTGGTGGGAGATTTGTATCTACTCAACAGCAGAGCCTGGAGTTGTGCCCAGTTGGTAAACAAAAGGCATTATAGCAATGCTTTGGCAAACCTTTGCCCTCACAGATAGACAGCTGGGGAGTAGCTCAGCTCTCAGAATTGACTTTCCGGTGTTATTAATTCTCTCAAAAGGTGCCACTGCCTCTAACACTGCCCAGAAGGGATGGGGGAGTAGGTTAATTACATCTTGGCTCTCATTTTCACCTCAGCCACCTCCTCTCAACATCAGATCTTAATAGACTCGCTTGACTTTTGCTATTACCGGATCAGATTTGCGTTTACTTACAGCATGACAAAAAAGGAACTGTTTGGGTTGAAATTGTCCACAGGTGATGTCTGCCTCAGGCAAAGGTGAAATAAAAAAGGTAGTTTTAATAAGTAATAAACCCCTTCCCTTGCCATCCTTCCTGACCCCATCCTATCACCTACCCTCATGCTGCATACCAGCAGCTTGGCTGGTGGTTGCAGCACCACTTGGCTGGTGGTTGCTCTCATTTCGAAGCTGTACTTATCACTGTCACGTACATTGCCACTTCCACCCCCACAAACTGCCCAAACTTAACTACATGAAAAGCATTTCAGAAATCACCATTCCCTCATTCTTATTAAAGTCCTTCTCAAGCCTAGTAAACCAACTCACACACTCAAGTTCCTTTTTGTATTGAGTGTTTTCAGAGTGCTGGCTAGAATCATCCTTGGAACTGTAGCTTCCAGTAACCAAATCAAGAAGTAGGAACCCTCTTGAACTGAGCTCACATTTTATGCTTTCTTTAGCTTATGAAGTTGTCCTTTCTTCCTGACATCAGACGCTTGGTCCTTGTTTTCCTACACTGTCTGGATCTGAGGGATGGGCCTGTCCTGCTCTGTGACACAGGATACCTGTGTCCTGGTCCTGCTGTTGTGTTGTTGTGACATGCCTGAGGCAAAGCATTTAATATCTGGGTATCCTCCACCAATGAAAAGGAAGTAACACACCTCAACTTAGAAAGATGCTAAGAGGTTATGCTTTAAAACTACTGTGGGGATGTTAGATGCTCAAACCATAAAAACAAAGCACCTTCTAAGTCAAAGCAATACTGAGATGGTAGATGGAGGAAAACAAGAGGGAAAGAGCTGCCTGAGGTTCGAGCTGTTCTCTATATGGCTTCTTCCCAGATCAGATAACTATGTATAAGTATGAAAAATCAATGCTTGCTTTTTCCTCTGCCTCTTGGATTTCCTGGTGCTGGTGCCTGTCACTGCTGCTACTCCTGTCATTGCCTGTCAAGGCTGAATGGAGCTGATGTGACTCTCACTCATGACACCATTGTCCCAGGAGGGCAACAAGTGCCGTGAAAACACACCAGTGTTTGTCTCCATGTTCCTGCTACAGGGCCTTGGAAAAGTCTAGCCAAGTTTATCTTCTAGCCACAAAGGCTGGAATGAGTCACTTCAGAAACATAAATATTGGAAAATGGATGAGTGTCCTCTCCATATGTTAACTGTGAAGAAATGTCTCTGAGCAGTGGGCAATGGCTTTTTCAAGCTTCCACCTTGAAGCAGTGCAGATCCGGGAAGTGGAATGAGTTAACTGAGCTGGCGGAGGCCTTGTAATCTTTCAATTGGTATATTAAAAAGGAAGAGCTGGAGCACAAAAAACTCAAGTCAAAGATAACCTTCATCATTTGGACTTTCCTTCCCATAATTTAAACCAGCTGCACAAGGGACAGGGAACTTCTGGTTTGGATATTCCTCAGGCTTACAACATCAAGGAGGCATGATGTCAGGAAAAGTATCATAAGAGCATTTTACACTGAAACTGTTACCTTGGGGAGGGACAGGAGAGAGTGTTGAGAGCTGCATGCTATTTATTGTACTACAGAGATAAAAACAGGCCTCGATTCCTCTAGCTCTCTGATGGAGCCATTCGTAAAGCTCAAGGGTAACCTGGGATCAGTAGAGTTTAAAATTTTTTTTCAGAATAATAACAACAAACGCCTCATCTCCTCAGCCCATATTCATCTGTCAACAGCCAAAGGGTTTTGAATACAGCATCTTCCTTAGGGGAATGAGAAAATGAAAGAATAGCCCAGAAATGTCAGCAAGTTGGTGAGAGACCAGACTGAGAAGCTGAAACAGGAATAGAGCAGGCCTGAGCAAGTAGAAACAGAGAAGAAAGTTTAATAAATAAAAGAAAAACTGCTTTACTTGATCACTCCTCCGTCAGTGTAGGTGGTCCTATAAAACCCAACCAGGGAACCATTCAGCCAGCCTTCAAACATCAGGGTGAGTACGTAGGGGTCACTTTCATCAGTGACAGTGAGCTCTGCTTCTGCCTTCATCACTATGTACTGTTGTGGCTTGTACCCAAAGCAGTCGGTCAGAGCAATCTGCTGTCCTGAGGATTTCCGGAGTGTGGGCATTTTTGTAATCTTGGTCTCTCGCAGGTGGAGCCACAGGTAGCTGGTAGGTTTTTCCAAAGCAATAGAAATACTCACTGACCCAGTGTAACTGTCATTCTCCATTTCAGGCTTTATTTCCAGATCATAGTGGATAGGTTTGACGTAAGTCGGTAGCCTGAAATGTCTCCAGTCTCCATTCTCATCATTTTTAGCAGGACAGGGACCCATATCCACTGGGGGAGGAGGCTTTGTTGGCTGTTCTGTTCCCCCTGTAGGGGGGGGATCCTCCGGCTGAGGTTTAGGTCTGCTCAATCCCACTCCAAGCCCCACAGCAAGACCTACAATGACCACGACGCCACAGATGATAGCCACATGCTTTGTCTTCATGCAGTACTGCTTGGACTTCTTATCCTCAAAATCCATGCCCTCCATCTGTGCTCCCAGGTCTGTTCTCAGAGCAAAACATTAACTGTAAAAAAGCTTATTAGTCACTTCAGCACTTGCATTCAGTAAACTCAGCAGACTTGGTTTGTATTTTAATTGTGCAGCTATGGCTGCTCTCTGCCCGTCTCCCCCACCTCTCTCTCCACGAGACACTCAATTAATTAAAGACAACATGCATTTGGAGGAAATGTGAATGATCAAAAGGAGCGCAGCTGGGCTGGGAGACGGAGGGAACCGACACAGAAGAACATTGTTCCTGCCGTGCTCCCCTTATAAGCAGCGCAACCCCACCCCCAGCCCCTCCTGCTCTGGCCTGAGTTAAATATAAAACAGTGCTATGTTAATCAGCAGTTAGGACATGATCAGATGCCAAAGCTATGTCAGCAGCTTTCAGAAAGAGTTTGCAGATAGAGGTGTAACTGCTCCAAACTCTCAACCTTTGCCACTACCTCTTCCTTTTTTCCCCCTGCTATATCTTGTTTGGGTTTTTGAGGTTTGGGGTTTTTTTACTTTTTTCTCTTACTTGCAAAGATTTCCTTGAACTTCCACCCTATAGTTTGTGAAATGACATCTCCAAAGTCTCAAAAATCCAGCAAAAATCACATACATCTTCCAAGGCCTTTTCAACTGTTTCCCCTCTTTTCTAGGCTCATTTACCTTTGCCGAGTAATTTGAGGCAGTCACAGGCCTCACAGAATGCACAATGGAACAATAAATTTTGATCGCTGACTTCAAACTTCAGAACACGTCTAATTCCTCTCCCCCTCTCATAGGGCCAGTTTTCTGGGAGGTTGTTCATAACCACGCATGCAAGCTGGTAGCCTGGGATAGCATTGCCTTGTTGGTCAGCACAATTACAGTGCTGCCTGTGAGCTCTGGCTGTGAGGGACACTTCTAAATATGCAGTTGTATGATTTATGTACTAAAGATCTAACTTAGCATTTACTGCATGTCAACATGATGTGGAGCTTCACTGAAACAAATTCATTGAATAGAGACTCATTCTACTTCCGGGTGGGAACTTATTGTGAGGCCTTGCTAAGCCTGCGACCAAGATGTTGCTTATGCACTATGAAACTGAGTACAGCAGGAGTCTTGACCTTGTTTGATGCTGAACTAAAGGAAAACAGTGTAGAATAGAAACCCCAGTCCCCGGATCTCTTTAACTCTTTTTCTTCACGTACGGAGCCCACTTGAGTAGATTTTCAATCAGGCACATCAGTTTGGCTTCATGCCTCCTGTCATGCCTTCTGGTTTAGTTTATTAGGAGAAAGATTAACATCACTCTTCACATCGCTTACAACTCCGGCTACTTAGCCTCTTTTTTTTTTTTTTTTTGAGGTGGATGAAGTTTCACCTGGATGGGTTGACTGAGGCCCTAGAATCAGTCAACACATGCTCCGAGTGAGATCCACTGAACCAGAGAAGGAGCTTTTCCAGGACAGACTTCATCCAGTCTTTTTGGAAATGGATCTGCTCACAAGCTTTATAAGTCTCCATTTGAAATATCGCCAGCCACCACGGGGAATTTTAGCCACCCAATCCACATCAGCACTCTTACAGCACACTACTATTTAAATAGCATCTTGTTCTAAAGGTAATGTTTTCCATCAGGAACTGAGAAAAGAAAAGGTCTTTTTTGCAAAGCATCAAGTTAACTCTTACTCAGATATTTTCAAAAGTGAAAAACTAATGCAAAAAAAAAAAAAAATCAAGCAGAAAGCAGAAAATCTGTTTCACATTATGTCTGTTTTTATTGTTTCTCATTTCTCTTCTGTGATCAAAACTAGATATGACATGGGAAACCAGTGCCCTTTAATGGATTGGGTAAGAATTTAGCTTCTAGCAACAAAGCCAGCATTGAAGATCATGGTCTTAACATTTAAAACCATTTCAGCTTTTCTTTTGTTCTGAGATCGGACAGGACAAGGAAAAAGAGAGAGAATAGATTTTAAATAAGACATCCTAAGCCAGAGCAGGCCATAACTGATGAGATAGTAAGTGTGTCTTGATTCCAGGCATGCTTTTTACGTCACTCCCATTTTCATTCTCTTCAACCATGAGGTTTTCTGCTACATTTTTAATCTGATATGAAAATGCTGTTTGAGCTTATGGACTGCAGAGCAGGTTATTTACTGTAATTATAAAGAGACTTGCAGTTTCTTCACTGGTAACAATTACCTCCTTCAGGAAAAGCTAGAAAACATATGTGGATGAGCTGGTCCCGAACAGCAAAAATATATGTATTTCTTACCCTAAGCCTTAAAAACAACACTAGCAGTAAAAGCCATTACAAGCTAATGAGGAGTGACAAACAATTTAGCTCATCAAGTAGCATAGATTATTGGTATTTTCTGCCAGTCAAGAGCAGTAATGCAGTTATACGCAAGCTGTAGCATTGATCTTCCCTTTATAAAAACTGGGGTTCAATACTAGTTGCAGCCAAAAATGGGTATAATATATTATATATAATATTGTATATATATATTAATATATATAATATTTCATATCTGAAATATGCTTTGTTGCTAGCTGGCACCACTGGGGTCAGCTAGCAGTGCTAAGAAGCTGCCTTGCTGCCAAGACAGCTAGGGACCAATGACCCAATATACATGCCCAAGGATAAGACAGGGCTTGAACTATTCATTCCTGTACACAGGAGCAATAAAGAAGGGCAGAGCTCCCAAAGGCAATTCCAGTGCTCTCCATGCTTGGCTGTCTCTAGGTAGAAAGGGGCAGGGAACAGGGTCTACCTCTCCAGAGAGGAGAGCTCCATGGCCTTCATCAACAAGGTATAGACACTTTGTCTACCCTCTCCCAATGGGCATAACATGATGAATCCCCACATGGAAAGTGGAAAAAAGCTCAGCCCAAACTGCTCCGGCATGAACCACAAGCATGACTGCAGGCAAGTGCTGTCCAAGCTTGGAGGGGTTTAAGTTGCTTTAGTTTAATTTATAGAAAACTGAAAAGAGATTAAAACAATCTTTTCAGTGCCCTGGACAATGCTAACATCTGCTGTCGTTCGTTTGGTGTTGATTTTTAATTGAAGCAATTCACCTTAAATTAGGATTTAGTTCTTAATCTGCACCAGAATTGCCACACTAGCTTAACCCTGCCCCTCTGGCTACCTGAAATGGAGGGGGGTACAAAGTCACCCTGCTCTGTCATGACATTGCTGGTGGGGACATGTAAGTGCCTGTAGGAGCAATACCCAGATATCTTTTCAGACAACTATAGGAATATAAATGCATCCCAATTTTAATCCCCAAATTGTATGCCATTCATTTCCAGTATAATTTCCAATTTTAAGTTTGGAAAATGGAATAAAATTTCCGCAAGTGACAGCCAGGATCAGCACTAGCACATGCCTGCTGTAGGCATTCAGGGAGAAGTCACATAGTACCAGGAAATCCTTAATTGAAGCTGACAATGAGAAAACAGCTGCTCTGGAAAGCATCAAAGACATGGAAATAAATGAAGTATATTTAAAAAAAAAAAGAAAAAAATGCTCTGCTGCAACTCACAACAAATGAAAATCCTCTGAGCCAAGTCCATCCTTGGAATAAAGTGAAATACTTACTGGGTCTATGCCAAGGATGTCTTTGGCTCCGTGTGTCCAGGGACATTAAGGCAACATGAGGGCAGCTGTCTAAGGACCTCTGAGTTCTGAGCTGCCCCTGCTATGAGATTTAGGGATACCATAATAAATGGAGCCTCTCTGCCTCCATCAGAAGGAATTTGGTTCTTTTTATGCTAAACTAATGCTCCTTGTTAGATTTGTCATTGCAAAAAAAAAGAAGGCATGAAGCAATCTGCTGTAGTGACTGCTTTCTGGCAGAGCTGCACTTGTAGACTTAATTTGAGAAATGTGAAGCTGATCGTGGTGTTCTACCAGGTCACAAATGAACTGTGTCAGAAATTATTCCCTTGTCCAGTGTTTTCCTCTGTTTGTAATGACTGATTTTGTCTCTGTCTTTGGCTTTGAACACCCTCTAGCAATCTTTAATCCCCTAGAGTTCACAAGTCTTAGTAATTACTGGCTTGCAGTGGTCCTTGTTCCACTCACAATCTTTTCTATGACAGTTTTCAACAACAAAATAAGTCCTTTTGGGTTTGTGTTGTTTGGAAATGCAAATGTTTTGAATCGATTTGAGAAAGACAGTCAGGATTTCTTCAGTCATATTTGTTTCTCCATTTAGATCTTTGAAATCTGGCCCCAGCTGTGGGGTACTATTGGCTGTGATACCTCGGGAGGACTGCATTATTTCCTGCTGCAGACTGACAAGCTCTACAGATAATATGCCCGTTGAAGCGCTGTACAGTCCCACCACCTATTGTGGGTTCTGCTGTGCTCCCCCAGCAGGACAGTGCTGGAGGTTTTATTTATCACTAGGGTCAAGGCTGAAGGGAGTTACCTCAAAGCCTCTTCACAAGGAAGTACTGTGAGTTACCTTCAGTAGAGACTTTGTTTCATTTCTTTTTTTTCCTGTTTCAGATTCCTGGATGAAGATTCTGTGCCTTGAAATGTGAATGTCACCTCTTCCACTATTTGTGTAAACAAAATAAGTCAAACGGTATTAATTTGCTTTGCTATATCATAATCACATTGTATCATTTAATCCTCTACAGCATTGCCCCCAAGATGAGCTTGTTTGGATTCTTTCATTCTAATCATTAACCTTTAATACAAAACCAGAATAGTCTGGATCCTGGTGAATACAGTTCCAACTTCCCAATTCTAACATCTTATATTATTTTTACATTTTAGTACCCTATTTCTTGTCAACATTGGTTAAAATAGTTACAGTTTATGGTTCTGCACTTCAAAGTCTAGTTTCCAATAGGAAATTTCCTTTTTGTCTTTAAACACATGCCTGAGGAGAGTTCTACTGTATCAACAAAATACGATTTAACATATGCAGACGTTTTTTCAAACTCACTCAACATACACCTTGTTTAACAACTTCCTAAGCAAAAGTGAGAAA